GAAGGGGGGCTGCCCTCCCTGGAAGTCTCTGCGGCCAATAAACCCGGTTTCAAGGGGGAATCTTTTAAGGCGTTTCAAGGCTTCCATCTCCACCAACCTGCTGTTTTTAACAGCAGAGGAGCGGGGCCAGGAAGAAAAGGTGGCAACTTTCGGGAGGCAGAAGAGCGATAAAAACAAAGAGGTCCCCCAAAACTGACCCCCTTTTTGCATTGTTTTCTTATGGAAGGTCATTTATCTCCAGCATCCCCCCCAAAAAGAAACCAATAAGAAACGGAAGATTAAATAGGAGAATCTCTTTCAGACGGCTCTCCTATGCATTCATGCATCCATTCATCCACCCATTCATTCATGCCTACGTGCGTCTTGAGTTCTGGTAAAGTAGCCTCACTGCCCCTCTCCTTTTCACATCTTCTGACTTGAAACATAATATTTTCTGTCTCTCCTTCTCCCATCTGCTCTGTTTTTTTCCCCCTTTATCCGCATCACCTTCAATTACCAGCTGAGATATAAATGCTTTCTGGCAAGCCCCCATCATTTCTTCATGCTGTGGTTGAAACGCTTTTTCGTTCCCAAACAGATCTGTGGGCCCTGCTTTGTTGAAATCTGGCCATTGAATTTAGCCAGCCGAGGCCAGACAAAGAGCTGGGATATAGCATAGTTACAAACTTGCTCATTACTTAGTTACACTCAACAACAAGGACTTGAGATGATGTTGCTTTTCTAATTAAAGCAACAAGGAGCCAAGACATTTTTTTCTCCCACAACAAAAATAGGAATTTATTGTTTTACCTGTTGCAATTAGAGATGGGGGTATTCGTATACAAATATCACCCCACAGGTGGAAATAACGAAGATGTGTGCTCGATGGAGCCTTCCTATTGTGCTGTGCTCTGCAATGGATTGGCCATTCCTGGCAGGAGGCGGGATGACAAGACTCTCTGCCAGGTTGCAGAGTGCCTAATCCATTGTGGACAATGGCGCGATAGGAAGCCTCCATTGAGCATGCGTCTGCAGCGGAACGGTGAACGGACCACTGCCCCATGGGGCTGGACCCTCATTATTTCAACCTGTGGGGGGATATTTGTATTCATATATGAATATGCCCATCTCTAGTTGCAATCACTGCCTCCTTGTGTAAAACAGAAGTGCCTTTCTTCCTCAAACCAACATTTCAGATATTCATTCCCCCATTTTTTTTTAAAGAAAACCCAAGCCAAGTGGGACGCATATGACTTCTCTGAAGGACTGAAAGGTCTAAGCAGCATGAGTTTGGAAAGGCAATAAATAAATATTTCAATAATATGCAGTAAATAAATATTCAGTAAATACTGTGTCCCTGGCCACTCAGAACTAAGGGTGTGAGTTCAGTGTGTTAAGGCGTTGAAGTGGTCTACAGACCATCTTAAATTCAGCCTCTATCAAGGGCTAAGTTTATTATAGCCACTGGCTATTAAAACCACGAACATATACATATACATTACAATGCACAATAAAATGATATAACAATAGACAAGGTTGTACATCTGGTATGCTATGTAGACTCTAATCAGCTCTATATCCTATACCATATCTCTAGTATTTCCTATTCTATCATTATTTAGCCAGATCAAGAGGTCATAAGGACTTTAAGGCTCGTTACACACAAAACTGTATGAAAAGGGTTGTCAAGGCTTTCCCGGAGTGAATGGCTGCCCCGTGGGGTTTTTTAAATGGAATGTTGTTCCTTGTGTTTAATGTATTTTGGTGCTGCTTATGTGTGGTTTTTCTCGTATTGTATTCATTGTACTTTTAATACTGTATACAGTACTCATTGTTACTCACATATCATTTTCTAATTGTTGGTCTCCCCTTTGAAGGAGAAAAATATTTTAAATAAATAAATAAACAGAACCGAGAGATGCTGCCTGTGACAGCCTTCTCACACGTCACAAAGGAGGTGCCACGTCACTCTTACATACACACACTTTGTTCACGCTGCCACCAACCATTCCTTCATCTGAAACTCTTCAGGCAAATAAATGACTTTTAAAATAAAAACTTGTGTTTATTTAGAATAACAGAAGAAATGGTAAATCACTGTATCAACGAAATACTGTAATAAGGCAATCAATATAAAGTATCACACACACTCTCTCTTTCAGACCTTCTCTCAAAATATAGCACAGTACTACACGACAGGTATAAGCCCTAACTCCCTACGTCCCTAACCAGACCCTAACCAAGTCCCTATCTTAGACCCTATCTTAGACCCTATCTGACTCACACCTCATTCACTCCCCCCTTAAATACCATGGCTCCACCCTCTGAAGTCCCACCTCCCATCCTGCTATAGCCAGATAAACTCTAGCTACAGCAGTGACGGGCAGATGACATCACCGCTACCGTCACACCGCCGTTCTTGAAATTTTATTTGCTTTAAAACATATAAAACTTATAAATGCCAAGACATGTCCCCGGCTTCCTTTACTCTTCACAGGTTCACTCAGTAGAAAGAGCGACAACATACATCACTTTGTTTTTGTGCGTTTTCTGTTCCAATCAGGAAATCTTTATTGCATCCTATCTATCGATACCATTTGGCTTTCCACAGCCGAATCAATGGGCCGAGGGGCTTCTTGGAAGCCCCAATGCCTGCCCCGACACTGGCCGTCACAGCCGTCACGCCGGCTTTGGTACTTGTAGCAAGTCCGGCTGCACCTGTGAATAAAAAGAGGTAGTCAAGTCACTGTTCTCGTCACTTCCTGAAGCAGCGCGACAGAAACACATTTCACTCTCGCTTCCGCATGCGAAACGGATGCCACAACACCGATATACTGGAAACAACCTTTTCTCTCCTTTTCAAAGAGAGAGAATGGTTGACAGCAGCCGCATGCGAAACGGATGCCACAACACCGATATACTGGAAACAACCTTTTCTCTCTTTTTCAAAGAGTCCCTCCCACATGCTGGGAATGGTTGGCAGCAGGCAGGAAAAGAGGGAGACCAAATACGAGACGGGTTGACTCCCTAAAAGAAGCCACAGTCTTGCGTTTGCAAGAGCTGAACAAGACTGCTAAGGACAGGCAGGAAAAGAGGAAGACAAAATACAAGACAGGTCGACTCGCTAAAGGAAGCCAGTCTTGGGTTTGCAAGAGCTGAGCAAGACTGCTAAGGATGGGATGCTTCCAAGATCACTTATTCCTGGGCTCGCCATAAGACGGGGGTGACTCGAGGGCACAGAGCCACCACCACAATCTACACACCTACAAACAAAACTGAACAGGAAGACGTTGTGTTCGATTATGTCGGAGGCACCAACGCTGTGTCTACTGCAAGATTTGCTTCTGCCTTGAGCAGCTGCAGCTCCATGCCAGAGCACATGCTGTACAACAACAAGGTCCTGGGTTCAAATCCCTGGCACCTCCAAGTCGAGGCAGGAAAGAATTCGGTCTGAAGCTCTGGGAAGCTGCTTGCCAGGTCGGCGCTGACAATATGGGACTGACAACAGACCAATAGTTATATTCAATGTGAATCAGCTTCCTCAGTTCCCAAAATCTGTTCATACCTTCGAGGCTGACAACAGACCAATAGTTATATTCAATGCGAGTCAGCTTCCTCAGTTCCCACAATCTATTCATACCTTTGAGGAAGGCCTATCTGGTCGGGTCAGGACCACTCTAGGCAGCTAGAGCACTAGAAGTACATGCCAGAGAACTCCTAACCTTTCCTACAGCTTTCTGTATAACAGCCGTCTTTCCCTTTCTCTCTCTCTCGTTCGTTCCATATTTTTGCTCAAAAGGCCATTTCTTACCACCTCCCCAAAATCTTCCTAAGCAACTGGTTATTGGCTTCTGGTTTAGGACTAGGACGCAGGTTAGAGGTGTTAAGGTGTCCCAGACAGAGAGGTTGCGGGTCTTCCTGTCCAATCGGACTTTAGCCACACTGACGACTTGGCTCAGATTTTTTCCCCAATCACTCAAACTTGACTCCCTACTCGGAACCCTAAGCCTCCCTCCTTTTTTTCTGGGGGAAAAAAGCTTGTTTCTAATAAGGACTCGGGGCTTGGAACTCGGTCCCAAAGACCTGCCGACACCCCTGGTTCCAGAGCAACTGGGACGTTTCAGATTTCAGTTAATCTCTGGTTTCATGGAGGAAAATAACTCTCCAGACTCGTTTGGAGGACTCGCGTTTAGCCAAACTTCCCAACAAGAATCTCACCACCGCTGTCCAGGAGAACCTTACCCACAGATTGGAGCACTGCCACGGTGCTGCCAGCCGGCACTCCTCCGCCGGCGGCAACGGCTGAGGCTGACATCATCTTCGCAGCAAAAGATCCGGCTGCAATGCCTCCACTGGTGAAGCCCACGACCCCAAGGAGGGCTGGGATAGCACAGGCGGTGAGACCTGAGTTTTAAGAACCCGACACTTAAAAATCAGAAGGGGCAACTGAAAAATTGGATTGACAAGACACGTGCTGCCTTCTTATCACATGTATCTGGAAAGGAGATACAGTAGGACCGGCCTATCCATGGCAGGTTGGTGCCAAGCTCCCGGCAGGTGCCAAAAATGTGGAAGCATGAAACACTATATACATTGCATGGTCTCTGGCTCCCTCTACTAGTCAGTTCGGATAAATACACTTTGGAACCGTGTATAAATACTGTATGTAATTATCAGGGGTTATTTAGTATTTTCAGGCAGCAGGTAAGTGAATAAGTGGATACTGATCCCGTGGATACAGGGTCCTGGTGTATTGTAACACCAGCATACAGAAGAGATAAATGTATGTGCAGGGGTTACTTTTCAGTGAATCACAATTGTTACTGAGTCAACATTGGACAGGATTGACACGGAGGCTCCAAAATTCTGGCAGACCAATGATTTCTATTTTTTTGCCACTTCTCAAGTAAGGTTCCCCTTGCTTTTATAAGACATACAGGGCAGGAATTTAGCCCCTTACCCTTACCCTTTCTCCAGATAAACTAGGTAGCCTCTTTAAGCTATTTTAGTTTTAGTGCTGTACGGACACTTATTAGACCCGTTGTATATCTGTAGCCTCTTTCTTTTTTAAATAATGAAAAGTAGTAGTACTATAGAAGTTTATATTTTTGGGAGACAGGGGAAATCTGGTGGTTGACGCCACCTGGCCCCAGCAGTTTAGTATGGAAGATGGGAATTTTTAACACAGTGAAAACGGCAGAAGAGAATCACTGACTTGCTACAGGTGGACTTTAGTCCAGGAACTCAGCCACTCCTGCCAGGGATTGCAGATCAAGCCCCCCACAAAGACTAATCTAGTACACAAGATCAGATTCCCATACATCAGTTTGAACGCTTACCTATTCCTAGGGCTCCTCCAATCAGACCGCCCTTGCCCATGTTAGCAAGTCTTCTCAAAGACTCTGAAAAAGAAGGATTGGGTTGTTTAAAAAAACTTGCAAAGCCCTTTTAAAATAAAACTTGCTTTCCTATAAATTGCTCTGAAGGAGGCCTAACAGGTAGCAAAGCACCATAGAAGCATTTTTCAACTCCCACTTTAAAATTAACTTTTAGGGTTGTTTTTTTTTTTAAATAGTCCTCTCTTCATATTCTATTATAGTCAAAGTAAAAATACCAGCATAAAGTAGTAGCAATACAAATAACAGCAGACTGATTGATCGATGGATCGATTGATTTGAATGGTCAGTCCTTTTGCCAATGACAATATTCTGATATGATGTATAACAAATATCATGTTCCTGTTGGCCACATCCACCGGGCACCCTGCGCACAGCTGGAAGGCACTGGGTTTGCAAACATGTCCCCATAGTAGAGTTAATAAATCTATCAGATACGTTTTGCCCAAATAGTGGGCACTGGGTTTGCAAACATGTCCCCATAGTAAGAAAATCTGTCAGATACGTTTTGCCCAAATACTGGGCAAAATCAAGAGCATCTGAGGCAGTCAGGATCAGGTCTTCCACAATCCTCCATCCTTTTTGTTTGTTCAGTCGTTTAGTCATGTCCGACTCTTCGTGACCCCATGGACCAGAGCACGCCAGGCCCTCCTGTCTTCCACCGCCTCCCGGAGTTGTGTCAAATTCATGTTGGTCACTTCGATGACACTGTCCAACCATCTCGTCCTCTGTCGTCCCCTTCTCCTTTTGCCTTCACATTTTCCCAACATCAGGGTCTTTTCCAGGGAGTCTTCTCTTCTCATGAGATGGTCAAAATATTGGAGCCTCAGATTCAGGATCTGTCCTTC